CCCCCCCCTTTTTTTTTTTTTTTTTTTAATCTCCAAGCTTCTGCAATGAAAACAAAGGCAACTAGCGGGGGCGGGGGGCAGCAGCAAGCCGTGGGGTTTGTGTGGGACACCCCGGGGCTCCTTTGCAGAGGTGCAGGAGGATCAGACTGTTGCTTGTCCCGTTACCCCCCACACACTCCCCCCCCCCTCCATGCTGAAACTTTACAAAGCAAAGCCACATCAGCTCTCTCTAGTCCCTGACCCCCGAGCAGTGTGCCCTTGTCTCTCACACTTCCATGGCAGTTATTTTGGCAGCAAAAGCAGAATTTTGCTAGAAAGGCTGGGAAGGTGCATCCCACACACCGGCCCTGCCAGGAGGAGCCATAACACCCCACAAGCCCACCAGAGCCAGCATGGGGGACTACACATCTGATACGCGCGGCTGTCCCCCAGCACAGGAGCTGCATTTAAGTCCAGGCTGTCACCTCTGCTCCTTGATGGAGCTACACTACAGTCAAGCCAGTCCCTGGGCTTCCTAGCTCCTCCTCGGATCTGCCTGTCGCTGCAGACTGCTCTGGTGATCGGAACTCTCAGACGACCCTGGCCACTGTCACCAGGCTCATTCTGCTGCCTGCCACCGGCTCCTTGCTCGCAACAGATGGAAATTAGGGTCCAGTTTCTTGCCAACGTTAGAGCTGCCATCAGGATGCTGAACAAGCTGCTGGCAGCTTGCAGCCCCAAGTAGGGCTAGAGGAATGGAGCAACAACCCCACTGACTGGCTGGCTTTTCTTCAGCCAGCAGACCCTTAAGAGGCAGCATCAGATGCCCCAGGGCCATCAGGACCCGCGGATGGCCCTGTGGTGCAGGAAAGCTATTAAAGATGGAGGGCAAAAGAGCACTTAGTGCCCTTTAGTCCTCCTCGGATAAATATGTATCTGATGGCTGAATGAGTTCATGCTGGTGCTTAGGCCACGCTCCTTGCCGGACACCACAAAGCTCTGTCCTGTCCCATGACTAAAGGAGATACACCAACATGTAGGTGACACTGCCACATTCTGTTTCTGCAGCTCCATTTGATCTTGCTTGGCGTCTGACCCCAAGTGCTGTTCCCATCACACTGCCCTGCTTTAAATTCTGTCCTTCAGAAGTGAAACAAGGTGCTGGGCAGGCACTGAGGTACTGCTGCTGACATCTGTTTAACTCGTTTCAAAGCATGGGAACTGGTGGTACTGGGCTCTCAGTAGCCTGGTCTCCTCTGCATTTGGAAGAGGCCTTACAGTCACTGAATTTCAAGATACAATGCAGGTCGTCTAGTTTTCTTTCCTTTTATCAGTGGCAGCAGAGAGTAGTTGAGGGACAAGGGTGGAAAAGTTTGCATTATTGCTGCTGTTCCAGTTTGTAATTTCCCATACTCTATATACAAAAGCAAGTACCTGTATGCTATATAAATGACTAATCTTTTCCTGAAACCAGCTGGTCTCTTAAGGCTTTTCCTTACTAACTTATTCTTAAGCTAAAACTATCCCTTGCTTATAATTCCAGAGTAATAAAGCAGCAGCTCCAGACCTCTGACAAACTTCAGGGGAAACGCCAAATATGTCACAGCCCTTCTGGCACAGTGGCCAGGTCTGAAAACAGTATTCCAGGTAAGTATAGGTCTTTGCATCATGGCACGGTGTTATAGCATTGCACGGTCCTTGTCAGCTGCTGTCACGCATTGGGTGGGCACACATTTTCCTTATGCCAGCTCCAGTGAGGATCATTTCTCCATTGTCTGAAAAAAGGGGAAAAGCAGCAGAGTGCAGATCCCTCAACAGTGGTGTCAGGTGCTCCCTGGAGCTCGGTGCAAAGCTATGGGGAGAAGGGCTTCAAAAAAATGATACCTGGACCCAGCCCATCTGTAAGAGCATGGGATGCACCGCAGGGCTGAGCTGGCTCTGCTCACTCCCAAAGCTGGCGGCAATCTCTGGGAGAGCGGGACGTGCTGCCGAGGGGAGTGCTGCGAGCAGGTTTAGCAGCACCAGTCAGCAGAGCTGCACGGTGCTGCCTGGACACAGTGTTAACTGCTGGGCTGATCAGATATACAGCCTTGCACACAGTTCATCCTACCTGCCTGCGCTCAAGCAGGGGAACTCAGTGGCTTCAAAACAGAACTCAAACCAAATGTCACAACCATCTCCTCTTTAGAGGTGGAAAAAGCCTGTCGCAGTCATTACCATGACACAAGCACCTACCAGCAGCCTCCAACTGCACATTCAAATGCCAAGTGACAGGCAGATGTTTCCAATAAGAAATACAACCCTCTCCGTAGCCTCTGGTTGCATCACCCACGAGGACAGCATTGCCTCAGCCTTCTCTGGCCAGAGCTTTGACCTTCTGGAGTCACTTGAGCTCAGCCAGGCTCTGCGTAT